TGCGCATCATGTATACATAAACATAATAAAATATTTAATAAAGTATCATTTATATTTTTTATTTAATTTATCAGGGGATAAATGAGTTGATTAAAGCATCAACTCATTTAGGTACTAGTATAGTAAAAACAAGGGCAAAACTACAAAGGTTAAAAGATTAAGCTGTGATAGGTATAAGACAAATATTTTTAGCATTCGCCATTTTTGTATCATAAACATGTCATATATATAAAAGTTCTAGATGAATTTATAGCGTTTACTGGATATTCAATTATCTTTATTTTTACACCGAAATGTAATCTTTAATATAAATATAAACAGCATTAAATTTGTTAAGTTTATTTATAAACTTTGTTGATATATACCTACATTGTTTTTCACTCTATCTACTGATGTTTAGTCTAGTAAGTAAATTCAATTTTAATTGGTGATTGATTGTAACATAACTAATAACTTAACTAATATCCCTGAATAACAAATATTATATGATAGTATTTTTCATAATTAATGTTATATTGTTTGTTAATTTATATTATTTTGTCCCTTACAATTGTCTACATGTGAAGACACAGGCACTCTTACTTCCACTTGTCTAATTTACATTAAATGTACCTACGTCACATTTCCACTTCCAGACACACCTATCTACCAGCTGTTCTAGTGGCTTGAAGATATCCGAAATAACACATGATCCTGCAAATTAGGTCCTAATGAATCCTTGCTTTATACGCAATGTATCTATGTTCGATAAATTCGACGACCTCGGTGGTCTAGAGATTTAGCACACCACTTTACAGCCGATAGTCGGAAGTTCGGTTCCTCGTACATACCTTTGTATTCATTGCTTGTTTGTATTGGCCCAAATATTTTCAATGTAATTTAAGTATGTATTTACAAAAAAATACGTAAATAATAGTATCAATTATTTAATAGCCATAATACAAGCTCTATTTAACTAGGGACTAGTTGGTGTTATGTGAATTGTCCACGGTTATTACTATATATATTATTTTTTATATACCTGCATAAACTCGGAAGACTCGATTTTATTATTTGTTTAATTTATTGTACTTTAGTAAATAAACAAATATAGTGAGTCATCATTTAAAATAATTTCCATGATAATAGTGTTGAAGACAGTTCATAGCACGAAGGAAATGAAAGTATAATTAGGATTTCAGCAGTGAACATATCTATAATCGATAAATTTTTATGGAAAACATTTACGAAAACCTATGACGATGAATATAAGAAATGTTAATTTTAACTATTGATTCTAGAAATCAAAAGCTTATAAATATATGTGTAGAAATTATAGCGTATTACACGTTATATCTACTGTTCTGTGGCTTACAGCAGAATTAGCGCAATCTCAATTTTTTTCCCAAGACACACCAACAACACCGATTCATTATTTCATGTATTGAATTTGAGTTGGGTTGTTTTTAACATATAATACAACTAATAATAAAATTGCAATATGCGACACCGTTTGATACTTATTCAATATCGTAACATTTTAAGAAAATCTTTAGATATTACAAATCTAAATAACTTCGTGTACTCTGCGTATTATATAACACTTACAAAAACTATGTAACTAAGTTCCTAAAACTGTTTAGTTTACAAAAACATCAACTAAATAAATTAAACTAAGGCTGCTAATTGAAATAAGATTGCATTGTTTCTGACGTATAAGTTTACTTCAAAGTTGCTCTTATAACGCATGTAGGAAATTTATTTTTCTGATAATTGTAAAAATAGTGCATGCTGTTTAATAATGCCTGAGTTTTGTGAATTAATTTCATATTATAATATAATGCATTTATTTTAATTATGAATAAATGCCCTCCCATGCCCTGACAATGCACAACAAGCGTCAACTAAACAAGAAGAATTAACATCAGTAAGGATGATAGATATCACTAATTGCACATATATTTTATATATGCACATTTATTTACAAATAATTTCTATCTAGGCGGCGCTAGTGACTTTGCTTGCGCAGGATTAGTGCTTCGCGTACTTATTTTATTCTTCAAGGTCCTATCTGTCTAAAACTTCGTCACAGATGGTTCGGCAGTTTGATCGTTAATACTCGTAAAAAGACATATAAATAAAAAAAATATGCAATCGCAAAGGAAAGGATTTATGGATGTTTATTACTCTTTTACGAAAAAACTATTGACTGAATTTAAACGAAACATTACAATAATATACCTTGTATATCAGAATAACACATAGGCTTATACTAAAGATATCGTGTATCTAAAATATAACAACATGTCAAGTAAGTAAGAAAAAATTATAATCACAAATGACAAATGAAATTGATATATGTACCTAAATAGCTACTCATTGGGACAAAGAAAAATAAATCTACTATTACTAATCAATTTATTTAAGTAATACAAAGGAAGTCACAGTTTTGAAAAATTAATTATAGTGAGAACTATACATAATTGCCAGACAAACATTAAAAGACAGGACAAATACAAATGTTTGTATACACGAGGATTGAAACTGCACCCTTTATAAGATGGATTATCTGTTGAACTCTATAGTATAAATGATCATAATAAAAAAAATGCAAAATAAAACTCTATCTGAAACTTAGTACAGAAACAAAATACGTCAAGTGAATTTAAAAACATTGTATTTAATTTTAGAATTCTTATTGTATTGTTCGTTTTGTTTGAAAAAATGAATTTTATTGTTTTCACTGGAATGCAATGTGGTCTTCTTCAGTAATCTTATAATAGGGTTCAAACTAAATTAGGTTAGACACGTCGTAATGACATTCTGTGAATGTATGTATAGTATAATACTATACATACATTCCACAGTTACAAACAGTTGAGAGATCTTCTACGTAGGTAGAGTTCGAAATGAAAATTAATATATACAATGAAAACGTAATACAAATTATTTTGTTATTTAAAATAATGAATAATCCTGTAATATTATAATATTATAATCCTGTATTAATATAATTAATACCTTTATCCTTGATTTCTTTTGTTTATGAATTTCCCAATGTCCTATTACAATTACAAAAAAACTGCGCTAATAGAAATCTTACCTAAGTGTAAATATTCGATTTCAGATAAGGTTATCTTTGTCACAGAGTCGTCAATTTCCAATCTGAGCGTGCTTCATAAGCAATAATTAATTATTAACTCTAGATACAGTTAATTATCTGAATTCATTAAGTCGTAATTATCAGTTTTCTGTCTCTAATTCTGCCCAAATATATTTAATAGAAATAGTTATTTAGTTAGTAAGATCATTTCTTAGACCAAATGTAAATTATGAACGGATCAAATTTAATACTATTCGTATGTCTTTTATTGGAAATATATATTTAGCAGATCGTTCCAATTTATAATAATAATAGATATGTACTACTATAATTTGCTTTAATTACATATATTGAAATATTTATGTTTGTCTATTACGTGCAACTATAAAAAACGTAATTCATTCAGTTTTCTACAACATTTAAAATAAATGAATACAGTATTTTTTAAATAATAGTCTATATAAGTATATAGGCAATTATTTATAATCAATTTAGTTTTCAAATATTTACTACTACTTGGTATTTCTAATACCAAATATTTGAAAACTAAATTAATTATAGAACTCCATTACTGTGAAATTCTTCATGGTTACTAAAATGTAGGCTTGTATTGACACCCTTCGTTGTCATTAGCCACCGTGACAGTAAATCAATAAAATTATTGTAATTTGGTTGAATTGACATGCAGCACGCGAAACTACATGTCATGACTGAAGTACTCAAGCTGCCTTTTGATTCAGATTATCCATTTGTGACAAATTCTGTCGATTTTTATCCATTATTATTGTCATACCTACTTAGATATAAAGTTTCGTTACTTTATATCTAAGTAGGTATGATAATAATAATGGATAAAAATCGTCAGAATTTAATACTAAATTCTGATACAATTTGCTTCATAAATAGGCTCTTATTTTTATTATATTTTTACAAATGATTAATGCTTTGCATTAGCACTTGACTGCACATTTATACTATATATGAATTATAAATGAAACAATTGAAAGTTCTCAAAATTAGTGTTTAAATAACGACTAGCCAGGGGTCTACAAAGAAATAACATAACGAAGTTACTCTTAAATGTTCGGTAGTTTTCTATTATGAACTTCAATCATTATATATAAACTTGTTATTCGGTGGGGTCGAATTATAGGTATAATATATATATATATATATATATATATATATATATATATATATATATATAAATATACAAAGTGCCCAAGAAGAAAAGAGGTGTTTATATATATATATTGCGTGTTTTTGCTATACTCATAATTATTTAGACTGATCTAATAATACAGATTAATTGAGAAAGATTCGATATTTGACGTAATAATGCTAAAATATGAGACCTATTCGGATTTGTACTTTCAGAGTAGACCCCTGTTTTTTTTTTATTTAATTAATGCTCATTAATCAGCCATTATAATTTAATTTGACCAAACATGAATTTAATAAATTTTCTTGATATCCTATGGTGTTTAGGTATATAAGGTTAGTCGTAAATGGTTTTCCAAGCTGAAAATCTTGTGGAATACTGAAACTGGAATAATATTCACCAATAAAATTGTACTCTTCATATACTCAATTGATCACGTGACCATGCAATTTGTATGAAGATTGCACTTGCTAATTTTTGGTAAAATCATTCAGTTTCATGTGTGTAATCAAACTTCAGTAGGTTTTGGTTTGGCATACCCTTAATGACTAACATGACGCTTCTTTAACTGCAAAGCTACAGCTGAATAATTTATGTAAGAAAACGAATGTTATAATTTGTTAGTCATTTCAATTACCTACGAAAATATAAACTTCAGTTGGCAATAAATGATTCCGAACTCGCAGATATCTGATATTTTAATCATTATACTATTAAAAATTTAAAGCATACTGAAATTATATTCTATCTGTACAGATGAAGACGACGAACCACGCTGTGTGATGCTGACCACACGACATAAAGCGGCAATTCGGTTTATAAGAAAGGTATGTATCATATTCTACTAATTAAGTGAACATTTTGAAAATATATATAATATATATATATATATATATTTGTGTGGTCATGAGTAGGTAATATTAAAATATTGTTGTCACCTTATAGTCAACTGTCGTTGAGAACGGCGATTTACTGTAATTCTGTTGTCTGTGTAACGTTTATCTATTCTTTTCATACTTTTGTGTCACTTATATAAACTTACATTTTACAATTACTGTGTCAATTTTAGTAGTGTCTTGCATATATATTTTAAGGTATTTTTATACGATAATTAATGGCAAAAATTATCCATCTACCGTTGTACACGCACTTGTAACGCAATTGTATATCGTACTCATAACCCATGAGTTGAGTTAGCTAAATTGACGCCGAGTTATTTTATTATTATCATAACTATGTATATATATATATATATAGATCAAATTAATTTAGAAATTATTAAATTAAAGTTTAATATTCATTTTGTGCTTCTAGTGTAAGAACCTTATTATACCGATTTGTATACAGTTGGTCTTACTGCAAGAATATTTTTTTTTCTCTATTATTATATTATTATATAAAATTATTATAGATTTATGACAATAGGATTATAGGAAGCTTATAACAACTATGTTAGTCTAGGAAATATTGAAAACATTATTGCGTCATATTAAGAAACAATGAGAACCTTAACTTATATCATATAGCAACATTATCTTATATATATTTGGCTCACCAATATGGACCTGATTTTACCTGCAATTAATATTAAATTCAGGTCAGATAGGATACAACATCCATTATATTACAACACAAAGGTCTAAAAAATATAGCAGCCTTAAATTCGTTTCGTAGTAAGTTTCTAAACGAGGATGAATTAAGTAAGCGTTTTGTAAGTACCTACGTCTCAACTTTTTTAATGAACTAGTTGTTAATAAATAAATCAGAAAAAAGTGCTTTAAATTATGTTCTTGGTTCTATATAATTATACGCATTATATAAACGGAATATTTGCCATGATGATTTATGAACTTCTTATATTTCGAAGCTGTTATTTACTATTTTAAATTGGACGCGGTAATTATTTATACGTGCAATTAAAAAAAGTTAGATGAAATTACGGGACCTTACCACATTTTATTTATTTTTATTAAGTTCCCGATATTTCAGCAGTGTTTCAACTGCCATAAATACGGTTAAACTGTAGAGCAGCGAAAAAGCTGAAAGTTGTAAATCAGCTATAGCGAAACACTTGTTGGGATCGGGACACGATTATTTGATTGAATTGCGTCAACCGAAGATATTATGTATTATTAACATTTCGTGTTCAATAAGTTTTCATGAAGATACTCTGAGTATAGTTTGCCTAAATGAGTATCGAGCGAGTTTCAATAGTAGCAACAAATAAAGACGTGTGAAGGTAGACGAATATGTCTGTCCATAAAAGATTTTGTTTACCATGTACCATTACTGCTCTTCAGTTTAAATGACGATTGAAACACTAGCGAAATATCGAGTACTCAATAAAAAGAAATAAAACGTGGTAAATCCCGTGATTATTGATAACTGTTACAAATATCTTGGTAACTGGTGGACCTATGTACAATCGAAAACAAATTTTATAATGTAAGTAAAGATATGTCTTTTTTCATTCTATATAGATATTAATATACGTACCCTTATTGTCTGTTTATCTTTATTTCTTATTGATTATAAGTATCCACGTATTTCATAGTTTTATAGGACCCATCTACGCCAAACACGAAACTTTCCCATGTTTGGTTACTATGTTTTAAATTTGGGTTGATTTCAATGTTTGTAGTTAATATCCACCATTAAAACATTACACATTAACAACTAAACATACAATACTGCCTTTTCTCGTTCATAAAAGTACATAATTATAATTATGATTTGTTTAATCGGAGTCATTGAACATCTATTTATTATAAGAAACATTGCATTATAATTATCCATAACTGCCATAAATAATCATTTTATAGTACACAGTACTCATGAGGATGCACATCCAGCGTAGTTAGAATATATAATAAAGTTCATTTCATTATATCTTGCTATTCACAAAACAAATACCTTTTAAATTGGGTACATTGTTACGTTATTCGTCAAGAATGATAACTTTAAGTAATAAATAAAGAAAAATTAAAATTATTTCAACATTAAAGTATTATAAGGACTTACCTATGTTTTAATAGTTTTAGATGTTCTACCCGTTTACCTAAGGCAAAGGCTTGTATGTACCATTCCCAGAGCCTCATTCGTGGTAGACAGAGAGACATTCTCTTCATTAGTCAATTCAGAACCTAGAACTGCAATGCCCTGAGTCAAGTAAGGGCTATAAGATGGGCCCAATTGGTGGCCTCGACCAATTGAATTGTAGATCCTATTTATTGTGTCCTCTAAATTTTATGACCTATGGATTCGAAGTTTCTTTACGCAGTTTCTGATTGGTGAGGCACAATTTATTTTTATTCGCTACTTCTTCTATATATAGGTGAATGTTAGATTATATTTGAGTAACAGTATTTCAAACCAAAATTAACACTTAATATTGGTTTAATCTATCCCTATAATATACCTCCCTTTTGTTACATAATTGATAGGAGAGGTAAAAATGGTAGTCATCGCGGGGCCCTGAATTATTAAGCTTGTTTGCAATGTTGAAACCTACATATTCAACCTTAACCGTTATTCCAGTAGGTACCTGTAGTACTGCATGCTACTACATTTTTGGTTAATTGTGTTCGCCTATTTCTTTATTAGTAGTAAAATTTGTATTGTTATATAAATATATGTATAATAATAACTTAACAATATTTTTTTTCTAAATTACAACAAAGATTGTATAAGTTTTAATTATAATATTTTAAAAAACTTAAAGACATATAAACATACATATTTTGTTGGATCGTCATAAAATAATTAAAATAACTTGGAAGATTATAGCGTTCCCTGCGGTATTCAACGACCAACTGCCGCCGGCCTCCCGTTGCCCAACCGCTACCGGGGTATCCGTTGCTTAGCAACGAGCCAACAGCGCGAGGCTACCGGCGGGTGCGCCGCTATATATATATATCTACTTACGTAGTGTATTACAATTTGGAATTATATTACTTTTTGAAATCTTTACAGTATTCTTATAATTAAATACCTCATTACACTATACTTAACTGAATACCTTAAGGTGGATTTAAACTAAAAGTACAATGGACATAACATATACTATGACAAAGAGCCAGGCATATTTACGTTATAGACTATAGCTAACAACGCAATAACAACACATTTTAACTCCAAATTTAGTTGTGTGGTCGCTACATGGGTAGAGTTTACAATATAATACAAACATTACTCAAATATAAATCAAATTCTTTCACTTAGTCTAAATCCACCTTTACATGATAACAGGACATCATTATTACAAACTTTTTAAGTAAAAAATAAAAAATATTATAAAATTCTGACAGATGAAGTATTTTGTGGCACGACGTAAGTTTAAGGAGGCCCTAAAGCCCTACGACGTTAAGGACGTTATTGAACAATATTCCGCGGGCCATGTGGACCTACTGGGGCGAGTGAAAAACGTCCAGACTAGGTACTGATAGCCTAACAAGAACGCTCTTGTATTTACCTACACCTTGCACTACAGTTTAATATCTCTCTACCTTTTACATTTCTCGTGTCTACTGTCTTGCAATGTGGTACTTATTTGTAGAACGTTTGGCAACAATTCTAATATACCTTAATGTAGTTAGTTTGTGTGCTATGCTATATTGTAATTACAAATGTATTTCACTGTAAATATCGCTAAGAAATAACATATAATGACATTATGAAATAATCTATACGAAATATTCCAAATGACCAGAAATTTATTGTTTCATAAGATAGAGGAATTTTCTGCAGTTATTCAGTATGTATTTGTGGTGTATATTTACAGTGATTATATTATGTCATCCCCTACCACTTTTGAACTTGGTGGTAGACCATTGTTGTTAGGTGTCGTAAAATGACAATATAGTATTGTATATGCATGGCTGCCTGTGCATAATGAATTAGTAAGAGGCATAGTAATGCCAGAAAATATTTGCGTCAACTCCATATTCTCATTGGCAGTTGGCATGTGACTCCAGTTAAACCTACGTTTTAAATAAATAATACATAATTGATTAATATTGGACATTATAATATATTTATGATAGTTTTACTTTGATGAACCACCCATTGTCTGTTATTTCCGTGTAGCTCAAGTATTTTGTCGCACGCAAGAGATTTAGAGAAGCGTTGAAACCTTACGACGTGAAAGACGTGATAGAACAATACTCCTCGGGGCACGCTGATCTACTAAACCGAACCAAGAACCTGCAATACAGGTGAGGTAAAAGGGCGCTCGCTCACTGTGCCCGCACCGCGCCCGCAGGCCTTCTGCCAGTCTCTAGAGCTTCATTCACTGCCTACATTCATCATCGAATAAACCTGTTAGAACGCCCCTTATTATTATAAAAAATATTTAATTGTAATAATAGACATATAAGGACATATCAAAAATGTTTTTTTTAAATAAACTCACAATCAGGAAAATGTTAGTAAAGGAAAATATAGAAAATAAATTACTTAATTAGTGATTTATTCTAAATTTTTATGGGTATCTTTAGATAATGCGTACATCTTTCATTGAAAATAAGAATACAAAATATATAAATAAGTCATTTTTATTCAAATTTATGTTAAGTACATATTCTTAAAGAAGAAACCAATATTCGATGTATTATGAAATATGGGTACCTACTTATTCTATATACATAACTTTATATATATATATATATATATATAATATATATATATATATATTTTATGTATAGAAATTATAGATTAAAAAGAGTGCGGTAAGCATGCTCTTTGTTTGTTATATATAACTAGATATTCTCCGTTCATAACTATAATAACTTAAAAAACAATCATCACATGCTGTAACCTAGTGTCTAGTATAATAGATTTTACGTTTTATTTAGATATATAAAACTTTAGTATTATAGATTTTTATTAATAATTTAACTAGCTACTCGCCCCGGCTTCGCACGGGTGTACATGTATTATATATGTAAAACTTCCTCTTGAGTCACTCTATCTATTAAAAAAAGCGTTGCAAATTCCGATGCATACTTTTAAAGATTTATATATATATTTTAGGATTTTTTTTCTACGACCAGTAAATATTTAGAGCTTCAAGTTTTTTATCATTTATTAACACATATTTGGACAGTATAAATATAAAATTTCAGCTAAAAATATTCAGTCAAACTAGAATTACAGCGCTCTGAACACCCCCGCCTCGAAAAAAAGAGCTCCCACTTCCTCCACGATTCCGGCTGATCGGCTTATCTGAAAAAAAAAAAACGGCGTTTTAATTTGTAGGCTTAAAAGCACGGAATGACCTATAATCAAATGAATATAAAAAAAATTGGATTTTTGATAGACATTTGAAATAAAAGTTGCAAATTAGGCGTTTTTTTTTTTTGTTTTTTGCTATAAAAAAATCGAAGTTTGGAAAATTTTCGATTGATAATAGTTCATTCCATGCGTTTACATATATTGAGTGTGCCCTGTAAATTTCAAGTAATTCGGTCCAGCCGTTTCTGAGATACAATGGAGGAAGGTTTGAAAAATACAGTTTTGAGAAAAACGCGTTTAAAGTTTCAAGTCCGTTAAAAACTATTAAAATATCAACTTACTCTCAATCGGCGATGCCTGGTCCATAGAGTATTCCTTCCTCTTCCTCGTGAAACTCTTTTAAAGCAGATTGTTCAGCTCTTGAGTCAATCCTGGCTTGTTTAACGACATCACTTACGCGCCGCTCAGAGCGTAAGATTCGCTTTTCATCCCGTTTCTCAACATACGCTTGGGCTTCACGACCAACAGGGCATCCCATAATCGACATAACTTTTAAAATACCTTGAAAACCTTCATTAAAGATAATAACTGCTAAGTAGCTAGCAATTTCAACAACTTTAGGACCAGAATGAAGATGTTTAGGAGCGAAAGTCCAAATCAAAGTATTCAAAGATTCGTTATTGTTTTGTGTCTCTGCTCCTAAACAACGAATTAATAATTCGTCTTTCGATAAATCTTCGAAAACCGGTTTGATAGCTTCTTGGACTTGCGGAATTAGAGGTGGTTTATCGTGATGAAATTGGTCCAGTTCATTATTAGCTTCAGCCTTACGCCATTTACACCAACTGTCTTCGCCTTCTGGACAAAATTGATGCTGAGGGTTTTCATCAGAAGAACATTTGTGATAGTACGTTGCCCAAACTTCCTTTCTCATATCTTCAAGCGAATCTGGATGGCGTCGAATTGCTAATCCGTAGAATTTTGTAATTTCTTGGATAACTTTATCAGTAAGTTTACCTAAACGTGTCTAAACTTGTATAAACAAATATATTAATAAAAGGGAGGCCAGGTATAAAGCCGACGGTACACAATAGGCCCGGTCTCTAACTGCCAACTCACCGCTCCGAACCGCTCTTTCTTTTACCTGCTGTATCTTTAAAACGACTTCGAATTTTCTAAAATCGCTTTACTACCGTATTCTAGACATGTTAAGGGAGCAATTTATGAAAAAAAAATCGATTTTTTCAACCCATCACATAGGAAGACCCCCTTAAGCATACATAGGGACTGTCTGTTCGACAGCGACAGCGACTTTGTTTTATACTATGCAGTGATAATAATGATATAGCTAAATAATCTGTTGTTGTCTGTCACAATATGTACAATTTAAATATGAAATAAAAAACTGTATGGCCAGTACGTCAACAACATAACTCATAAGATTTTTCCCCAACAATAACCTAGTTTGCGTATCAATCCGTCTGTCACAGTTTGGAAACTAACGATACTATCGAATATCAAGCGAAGACAAAAGGCAATACAAAAAGGAATACAGTTATCAAACGCACTAATAGTCCAAACTTATTGAAAATAAAAAATCAGAAAATATATCTTTAATCTTCTTGTAAATAAAATCTTTTATATCGTTGCATATATATTCAAAATACGCCTTCCATATGATACTCCGTTTTATTTATTACCTAGTCAATTTATGGAACGTATTAATTTAGGAAAATTATAATTTTTCGAGGTTAAGAGTAGGAATAAACTAGTTAATAAAGGTATAAGGGTAAGTTATTGGAGGTATAAAAAGAGGAGGAAATTTATTTACATCGTCCGCAAAATAAACAAGAACTAATAATTCATACTGCAAACAAACAAATATATAACATATATAAGTTGAACGTAAAATTATGCTAAACCATGCTACCATATACATATGCTACCATGTTATTGATAAAATACCAATTTAATAGTTATATTGAAGGAATTGGAAAATCATTGTCCTTTCTCACTTACTCAGCAAATGTGAATTCTGAATTCTGAGCAAAGGCTGAAAATGGCAATTATTATTTAATGACACAGCTATGTTCGAATGTATTTCTTCTTAGGTTCTAATTCGAAAACTTCTCTGATGATGTTATTTATATACCTACTTATAGAACACCTTAAGAAAACTTATGAATTTATCTACACTGAAATTGATACGTGAAATATAGTTACTTACGAAATTTTAAAATGCACTTTATTTATACTTACGAAAATTTGAAAATCAGAAAAAAATGTGTTCTTAGTATGTAATAATAATACAATCATATGTAATATAATAATGAAATTTGAACTTTTCATATACTGCGCAGTACAAAATCATTTCTATAGGTATCTCAGTAGGTTTTTACAACAAACAAATTACATATATACGTATATGTGTTATTCCGGTTTGAAAATTGAGATACTCGTATCGAGAAAATACGGGGTATCTATGAAACTTTGCTTTATTTCTCAGGAATTACAATACATAAAGTTCACCATGAATGGTTTATAATGGTTTAGATATTCATTTCTATAAGCGTTACAAATTTTTCATGGACCGTATTTGCATATTCTATCGTATAAACAAAATAACATTACATGAAGGAGTAGTTTCAAAAACATTATCGTATTTCCACTTATGTATGTCCTACCATTATCGAGATTGTAATTATTGTGCTTTATTTATTCTACCTTGAATTACCAAAACTGGTTTGAAGATGTTAATTCTTAAATTTCTACCTAAACCTTATATAAAAACTTTACCGATACTTCAAAAGCCTAATATTAAAAAAAAACTTGACAAGATAAAAATATATTTAATGATACAAATTCGCGAAAAGAAATAAGTCAAAGTTAATAAATACTATAATCAGTTTTTAAACTGTTTAAATCTTACTAATATTAGAAACGCGAAAGTTTGTGAGTATGAATGGATGGATGTTTGTTACTATTTCACGCATAAACTATTGAACGGATTCTGATGAAACTTTATGTTATATGATATACTTATACATCAGAATACCACATAGGCTATACATTTCATGCAGATAAAACCGGGCACAGCTATTATCTATATAATAAAGTTTTTACGAAATACTATCGCGGGTATAGCCTATGTGTTCGTTGTGTGCCGTTCAGTAGTTTATGCTTGAAAGAATAACAAAAATCCATCCATCCATACTAACAAACTTTCGCGTTTTTAATATTAGTGAATATACACAAAATAATAACTAAATAAAGTAGTTTTTATATTGAGTATTTATATAATAACTAAATAAATACTCAATCAAAACGTATATATGCGTGCACCTGGGGTACATTTTATTACACTCAATCCGTCAATAAGATAATAGAGCCGTAAAAAAAAATTTAAAAATATCTTTTTTGAAATTATTTTTCTTAATTATTAAGTAATGTAGCTCATTAATATTAATTACATTTAATATAAAATAATGAACTTAATACATTATTGGGTAATATTTATTAGGTAGAATAAATTAAATTATACAGTTTGAATAAATTTTAATAAACAAATTAAAATCAATGTAATAATATAGTAGTTATAATTAGTTCTAACCTATCCATTTATTCAAAAGTAAAATATTTAATTCGTTCATGGCATGCTATGTGGATAACCTCTATCAATACAGAGGCTTAATAGTTAGTAGAAACCATACAGTTAAAACAATGGCGGAGTACTAATTTACAAATAATATCCGTAATATGTTTGTTAAAAACACAAACATATTATAGAATTCGTTGCTTGTCTTATTTTTGTATGTTCTAGACTGCTTTTGTTTAAGTCTGTATTGTTTAGGTGCTCTAGAAATAAACACGCACCGTTATTAATATTCAGCATTGCAACGCTTTTCTAAATCATATTCACATAGCAAAATATAGTTTAGACTGCAAATCAATAGTGCAATGTTATATTATTATGCTATATTCTAGTACATTATTGCCATATATCAATAATTATTAATTTATTAAAGCAAATACTGTTGCATCAAATCAAATAGCAGTAAGTAATTATAATTATATTTATAAATTCACAGATTAGACCAAATACTTGGGAAACAAGGATCAAAAGCTAAAGATGTATATGCATCCAAAATCAGTCTTGCTTCCAGAGTAGTTAAAATTGAAAGACAAGTAAGTGTTAACTAGTTTGTTCACAACCCAAAAAAAGTATATCAGGCATATGTGGAATAACAATTTTGGTCATTTTTAGGTAGATGATATAGAAAGTAAGTTGGATCATTTATTAGAAATGTATGAGGAAGATAGACGAGGAACACGTCAGATATGCGGAGGAGGTGGTCCAGGTCACAGTGGCTCCTCAACGGAAGGCGCGCTGGCGCTCCGAGTCCGACCGGGGGCGTTGTCCGACAAACAGTGTTCGGAGCCCAACTCGCCGGTGTCTAGGGCGTTCGAGCATCCAACACCTGCCTCCGCACATCCTCTGCCGCATAAACGACCTATGCACAGGGGTTACTCAGATTTAGGAACTAGATTTATGCGGAAAAAAGTCATTGTTAAGTAAGTCCATATGTATAAATCCAGAGTCCATATAATTAAATTATGTTTATTTAATAGTTGGACACATATTTTTAGATTGTTGTTAAATAGATGAGATAATTTATTAAAAGTAACCTAAGGTAAAAGTCGATAATATTTCATTATGTCACTTTAGTACCAATTGAATGAAATAAAACGAAATTAATATTAGATTTAAATAATTATAAAATATTTATTTAAAATACCTCATGTGTTTACGAACACTTGTAATAAATAAGCAAACAAATTCAATTAAAAAAGTAATAATGTAATATTATATTATTATTAAAGTAAAAAAGTATTTCTTCGTATATACATGTAGATAAAATATTTTATAAAAATTTATTATATTCAATATTTTCAGAACTTCGTCAAGTCGAAACGGTGATTCTCCAAGAGACGATGAAGTGGTAATAGTTGTACCTACAGACAGGGAGGACACGCCTCCGCGGCTAGCAACTGATAGTTCAGGTCAGTATTTATATAAGAATCAGTTTTTTACTTAGTCTTAGCTTTAGCCGGTACTTACAATAATGTACCCGGACGCAGTATAAATTTTGCGTAATAAGTCTAATATGATTTAGATTATTATAATTTGTGATATGCGTAATGTAACCCTAATGGTAGCTTCAAGGCTGCATATTAGTTTTTCTTGAAGGTTTAACGTTTGGTTAAATAACAAATACATAAATAAAATTATAAGTCTAACAGCATTGTTCAGTGAAGCAGAAACTAAAATAAATAAAATAACGGTCAGCCTTTATCAACTAACTTGCTTTGTTTTTAAAGGCAAAGTTTGATAATACCCTGTGGCATCTATTCTTATCTTTCAATGAAATATCACATTCATAAAGTAAGTCCTAGCTATCATGAAATGTCAAAAAATTTAAGACTGCTATTATTAGTCCTATCGTTGTTAACATTAGACTGACATATTATTTGCATATAATATGTATAAGAATCGAAACAGAAAATATATGACATACCTAACGAAATAAAAGGGACTTCATGAATAATGAGTACATTAAATTAACGTATAAACACAATAGTTAAATTATCAATATTTATGAAAGTATTAGTCGTAGAAACTTTTTTCAATTAAATTAACGGTTTACGTTTCAAGATCAGTCGTGTAAGTAATTAAAGATAAAAATTAAATATTTGGTATTCCATAAATCAATCTATTATGTACAAATTTCAGCAAAACTCTATACTTCCAAATGTATAGGTATGGAATTTAAAAAGCATAAACTTTAAGTTAAGTATTTTTATAGTGTGTAGATTATTAACTCTACACTAATCTTAATTTTCATGCTTATAAATATTTTAACGTGTTTAGCACAATTGTTGTACTTCGTACTGAAATTGTAATTTAACCAATTCCACATCCTTGCCATAGGTATAACTATGCGAATATTACAAAATTGCAGCATCTTATGAAGACTATTCATCGTCCACTTCTCTATGACCGACGACTTGGGAGAGCCCCATTGTATTTGGCCGCCATCGGCTGAGTGAGTCCTAATCCTACCCCTTTCGATGTGTGGAATGTGTATAATTTTAGTGTCTCTCTAATCCCCACTCCCTTCTATATTCCCTTTTCATGAATGTACCTACGAATGAAAGTTTCTTGTACTTAGTCATACTTACCTCATTTTTATGTCTGATTTTTACATTTGTATCTAAATGTCGTTACTTTATATACACAACTCACATTACTTTATGTTATCAACAAGACCCTTTTATTTAAAATTGTGTTTAGTATTATATAATTTGAATTTGTTCGGTCTATATTAAAAAATGTTTTAAGAGATACTTAATCATAATAAAAAATGATAATGACATGCGTATAACTTTTTACTCTGAGATTGGACTCTGGAAAAATTATATAAATTATACAACATGAAGCGCATACTTGAAGTTTTACATTTCAGTATTACATAAAATCAACTCTTTTAGGCCAAAAGATTATAGTTTTGTTCATCAATTAATTTTATTTTTTTGTGACATCTTCCATCAATTCAGCATGTTAATGTGATGTAGATTTAAATATAGTTAGATTTATATATGCGTATATAATATAAACTTTAAATTATGTTTATAACTTAATATTTAATGAAAGAAAACTTCTTCAACAATTTCTTATCCAATACAGTATAATTTACTGTATTGGCTTATGTTAATATCCAGATTGTAAATCTGAATGTATGCTATTCTTTAGATACGAAAATCGTAACGGTTTTACGGATTTTTATAAATTTTAATTCTTAGCCAAATAATTATGTCATAGAGACTTCAATCCATGAATAAAAAAAATGTGTTATTCGTAGATTAATTACACAGATACAAGTATACAAGACCATTTTTGTGCTCCACGATATCTACTATAATCTCACTAGTACGTCCTTAGAGTATCTATAACAAAACAACATCGTAAATAGACAAGACCATAAACGCTGTCTCTCAGGACTAGCACTGGTATTATAATATCGATAATGAAATATATCATTCATACTTATAGCAAAAAAGTTTATAATCAATAAAAATAAAATAAAGTTTTTGTAATAGAAATACATTTATTACATTACAGCTTGTGATTCTAGTTTTGCTATATATAGTCAGACATGGATTTATCGAAAACAATATACAATATATCTATTTACTAGAATATAGATCAAAAGAAGTACGTAGATGGTCAGAAGTTTGGACGAATCACATAGATTCTCACTACAGTTAAGCATAACTGAATTTTATACATATCTACCACTTAAGTATTGAGTACGTAAGTGGTAGATACATTTTTTGACGCAACGCATTAAGTGTTCATTATTTGAAAATAAAACAGTATGTTGTAAAAATAGGCACAGGTCCATAATTATCAAATTATGAAAGAAAAAATTTTTTTGCCTGAACAAGCATTTTAAAGTATTATGAGCAATTTTACAAAAAAAATATCTACATTCTTACCTGTAAATGGTTGACTGCCTACGAATTTCTTTGAATATAAAGCAAACATGATATGTATGGAAAACTGTGTGTATTTGTAACTCCCATGTAGTGAGTATATGTTAATATGATTTAATTTCAGAAGTTTGTGCGAGTTGCTCGGTAGATGTAGAGACGGAAGCGGATGCTGGGGGCTCTCGCTCCGCAAGCTCCGGCTCCGCGTCATGGTGTGAGGGAGATGCGGGTGAGGAACGAGGCTACGGCTCCGGCGACTCGCTGGCTGAAGACGCGGCCCTGCTGGGCGACGTCGCGCAGCCGCCTCCGCGACTCGTGCGCGCGCAACGTCGTGATGTTGCTGTCGACCTACATCTCTTGCACCCTGATGCCTGATTCGAAATATACTCCTCTGTCTAATAGGTGAAACTTTCAAAGAAATGCACCGACGACGATTATAGTGCAATCGGCACCATACAGAAAATACGAGTGACATTTGTAAAAATGCGATTTCAATCTTCCAACCTATTAATTATCAAACATTTTTCTCCATGGTTTCCTTTCATATTCAATTTAAACTGATACAAGAGTCTTTCAACAGTATTTGTGCGAACCGGTATAGTGGAGGCGATAGGTTTGTTGCACATATTCATATGTATAAATATATCGCTTACTATTAGGTAGCTATATTTAAAGTCATGGTACAGAAAAAACAGCCCTAACATAGGTTATTCGAAAGTTACAATTGTATACAAAATCTATTTTAGTCAGTAGTTTTTTTATGGAAAAATCCAATTTTTTGTAATACCTTAAGTACCTAATTGCAACGGCGCATCTAATTTCACTGTCGATATCAAAAAATGTTATAAATAAGGAATGTATACATTTATAAAACAAACTTCTATTAAAAATCGTTTTTTAAATACAAAACGTTTTTTGTAACAATTCTTTGTTATCCTAATCATGGGCACAGACATCGCCTCACAAAAGGAGGATTTAGCCTCTCTTGTACCAATATATTTGTACTTTGTTCGATTGGATGCGTAATTGCGTATATCCAAACTTCAATTCAATTATGTACTAATTGAAATACAAAGAAACCGGGACGATGAAAATAATGAAAGCTACAAAAACTTGTATTGAAATATTTGTTTACTTATATCTAACTTCTTAATGGTGTTGGAAGTTTGAAGTCTGTTATTCGTATATTTCCAAAAACTGATGTTCCGTTCCTGTAATGTCGATTCTATCAATTTCTCAAAGCATTGTGTATGTTATTTAGCACAAAACTTTTGATACGCAATCCTTGGCCATTTTAAACACTCTCATATAATAAATAGATAGGTTACGCTTTATCAATAAAATCTAAAGAGCAATCATAGATCTAGCGCAGTTAATAAGTTAATATAATGTGTGTCTTGTGCAACTCCAATATACATTCATACAACGAGTAGGTAATTATTGTGGTTAGTATATTATGTGTGATTAATTCCACTCGTTTTTTATACAAAAGATAAGACCAAAGACTCGAGGGTTGAAAGTTAATTTATAAGTAAGTACTATGAGTAATTAATACGCTTAATATTTAGTTCTTCTTGATACTTAAATGAGTACTTATTTAGTATGTACCTACTTGCTTTTATAAATGTATGCAAATATATCCCATCAATAAATAAATTATATAGTGTCCTACAAAACTCACAGTTTCTGATTCGGTAAAAATTAAACATTCGTTTCGACAGCGATTAAACAGCGAAACTGCGTTCATAAATATTCCTATCAATCGATAGTCAAGGCTGATCTCATATTATTTGACTACAACAGTAATATTGTATAGACAGCTTGCGCTGAACTTAATGTCGATTTTAAGTTTCGACCGAAACAAAAATACTTCGAATATCCCTTTTATTGTTCTAAAATATTTCAATCAGACATACGGTATAATATTATGAAAGACTGGCCAATATGATTTCTATTCCAAAAATAGATTAAAACCCAAAGAAATAAGACAACTTAAAGCCATAAACCACATTATACATAATGCTGGGCTGTATTGAAAAATTTGATAATTGTTTGTCATGTCTCATTTTGAAATATTGGGTATGATTAAATATTACGAATATTAGTAATATACAAACTTAATTGTAAGTAGATAATCTATTTCAGATAATTTAATTCAGTAGACCGGATACATGGAAGCTTTTGATTTTTAAAAATATTATATGTAGGTACGTGTACATATTGTATGTAATGGTATATAGTGAGAGGTATGAAATCGAGACAGCATCGAATAAACGACATATGCCTAACAAACGATATTTGTGTCATTTTATGGTATTATTAAAGATTTATTGTTTATTATATATCTATTAACTTACATTTCTATATTTTGAATATATATTTTAGTTTGGGTCGAATAGGTATTCTAAAATATGGTATATTCAATCAATTACACTAAGCACAATTGTATGTATACATGTAATGTGTATTTAAGAGAGGAAATGTGATAAAAATATACTTCGACGCTTCTGTAATCTTATAAAAACAGATTATATCAAAGATATATTCAATTACAAATTTTACACCTTAACTTTATTTTTAAGCTGTAGATATCTTTTTTTCTAAAATTATTACTTGATATAAAATTTTAAAACTTAGGTAGGTAACTTAATTTAGTTTTGAGTTGTTTGTTATTAATAAAAGTTTATTGACATTATTTAAAATTCTAAATGATGAATATACAGATAATTATCTATATACGCTATTTCACATAATCGAACAATCCCAACTTAGTGTTGCACCACGTTACATTTCCTCCATTAACATTTAAAACTGAATACATGTGAACATGGGGACGTACAAAACAATATATACGAAATTGTGCAATAAACAGATATTTTCATAGGCATAAAATGACATTCTCAAAAGGCATCTATTTTATTTCTAAATATGACATAGTTTTTAAAGGCTTGGCACAAAGTGCCAAGTCGTTAAAAAAACGTTCGAGGAAAATTATAACAATCTTTGCATGTTATAACTACATATGTCATATAGGTATTATGTATAAAATCGACAAATAATTTAATACTTATAAGAGGTTTTTATTTTAATTACAAGTACTAATTGTGTCCCTTAGAATTTGTAATAACTATTTTGGTGGATATGCATAAAACTATTTACAATATGTGTTTAACATATTTAGAAAATAGAATTATATGACGTTTATTTATAACTGCAGAGTAAAAATTATTTTATAGCCATTGAGCTGAATTAGTTCCTATATGGTGTACAAATAATAGTCATTGTGTTTCCTAATGCACTGCAAACATGTCGCTAGCAAGAGAAATTAACTCGAGGCGCGAAACAATTAAAATGTAAGTTAGTAATATTTAAATTCTCAGGTCTTCGCTAGGTACTGAAACAATATTTTATTTCTAAAATTTTTTTAAAGTTATTATTATCGATACGGGCAAGTAGATATTTTGCAGTACATTTTTAAACTTTACAATGACATGTAATAAATAGGATTTAATATTATATCTTTTGTTATGAGTGGATATTATTCCAACAATTAGAACTAAATAATATAGCCATGGAAATTGACTGACATTGATAATAACAGCACATCAAATTATCTATATTATGTTGTTGCAGGTTAAAGAAAATATGTAAAGTTAGGCTGTGCGCAAAGCAATCTGATATCGTCTATATCTACCGATCTGCCTTTAATTATCTTATTAGTTTACTAAGAAACCTGTGATAGAAACCTTTTATTTTCTATATAGATACAATCAAAGATTTTAAGTTTTCTAAAATAAATATTATTAATAGATTTTAATAGATATCTCTATAACATTAATTTTATAGATTTAAGTTACATCTATGCCTACTGATTAATTACAAAAACCTTTACTGGAACCAATTTTTAAAATTTTGGACAAGTTTCTTAATACAAGCAGGGTAAATATTAGCCTGACGTTGATTAATAAATTTAAGATATAGTACAATATTAACTTTAAAGTCATCACGTTAAGCCACTGTCGTTACATGTAATCAATCAGTGGTAGTCTATACTTCGACTGCGATGTCATTTTCATTAGATATATATAAATCGTTTAATAAAAAAATAAACGTGCAGCTATTAGGAATAGGTATGTCAGTCATTCCTCTAGACATTATCTTTTTGATTAACTAAATATACCTAGTTTATATTTATAAACCTTCACAAACAATTACAGATTAATTCGAACACATAATAAATAATCGTAAAATCAAGAGATTTTATAAATAGATATTTAGAAATTGTAAATAATTATGTATATTATTTATTTATGTATTCACCTACCAATCTATTCTATATCAGTCGACTATTTATGGATGAAATTTCATACCTGAACAAATTAATTACAGAAGACTATATAGGTACTACCTAAATATAACATCTAAGCCACGAAGCAAATTCATACAGAAGCAAAATTTAAACTAATATATTTCCAAGACGACAATCAATATACCAATGTCGAGTGCTTATTTATTTTAGAAAATAATCAGGCTTCTTTATTACAAAACCTTTAAAATTATCACCAATCCAAGAGTGTGCTATCACATTGGATTTTTTTTTATTGGGTCCATAAAATCCTGTGTATACTGAATGTTAACGGTCAACTACAGAACTCTAATTATGTTCGAAAGGCTATGTGCTGTTTTTTATATCCTAATATAAATAATCTCACTTTCTCACTAATGTTAGCGACTCTTCTGATTGTGTGTGTATATCCACAATGGAGGAATCGCTTTTTTATTCTATATAAATTACATGAAAGCTTCGTTGCACAAGTACCTCAGTAGCGCAGAAAATATTTTTTGGACTTACTATCCTAATTTTGCACGAAAATAATATAAAATAAATTCCTGGTTATCGATAAAACTGCCGACGCATATGACGACTGTGAATGAAGCCAGCTTCTGGTAACTGTGACCACAACTTTTTTTTAGAGATCATACCACGTCTGAATTAGGTAATTCAAATTTTACTAACGTCTGCTTACGTACTAGTTGGCTCTTAAAGCCAGTTTAATAAAATACCTACCTACAATGGGACCTACTGATGCCTATTAGATTTTTATTATCGTGAATATTAGCGACTATAATTGTAAATACCTACCCTAGTCAATTAAGACATATTCCTAAATTTTTTTACACTTTATTTGTTTAATGCCAAAGCTCATATTTTATTTATTTAAACATTCATTCACATGTATACAATAAGTATCGATAGGTTATTGATTTGAAAATGTACAAAATTAATTAATGTCTATGAATTCTATTTTATCTACAAATAATGCACACGACACTAAAAACGGCTACACACGATACAAACATGGTGGCGATAAAATCAGTCAATAAGCACTGCATGTGAAATCAGTCTCGATTTCCCTCCCGACCACTACTCCTACATATATTGCCCCCAATTGCAGTGTAGTGTGTAGACCATTTAGCGTACCGACCCTTTAATATTTTATATTTTACCACACAGTCAACAAATGAGCTTTGAGCATATAATATTGCACACAAGGCGCGATGTATAAGACGGGCTACTAAAATCAGGGGCAATATCGGAGCAGGGGAGCACCCTGTTCGCCTCCGCGAATATTGCTTGTGTGTACAGTTCCGATATTGCCCTAATTTAGTTTCGTGTGTAGGACTAAAGGCTACCTTTGTAGAGACCAATTAAATCGACCAAACACAATAATTTATTATTAGGTAAGTATATCTTCCCTAAAAAAATTAGTTAATCTTTAATTAAAGAATAATAGACATATGTATGCCTACCGTGCCATATACCGTCGATTCCAGCAGTATTAAATACCCACGATCTAGTTGTAAGTACCTATAAGTAATGCAACTGCTTTGTAAGTTGACTTTATTGTTAATATCCTTAATTCTTAGATATACTTAATATTTTTTTAATAGAATATTCTCTTTTGATTTTATGATATTAGGTAGGTATATAAACCTGTGACTTATTGTTAACTATTATTACTTTTTCACATTATTAAGTGATCAATAACAGAAAACATTGCTATTGAATAAAAACCACAAATCCTAATTGTCCCAGCAGTGATTTAACATGATAATTGTTTAAGCATTTCGCTCTTAGAAATTATAACATAAATAAGTTATCTATCTAAATAATTACCTAAGCCATGCCTTCATCATTATTATAAAATAATATTTGCCTAGTCTAACCATTTATTATGTACCTGACTTATATTGTGGGTGGATAATTGGGATATAAGAATATACGTCAAGAATTATTTTCAAAGTACCTAATTAGATATGCGTGGTATAAAGAGTTTCTACAGATACATATAAATGGGCTATATACATAAAATGAAACTAAAATAAACATTATAGATATTTAAACGTATAGACACAAAGTTTAAAGTTTATTTCATATATACTTTTTGCTTTTTTATATTATGAGTATGTATAGGTATAATATCTTAATAATGAATCGATACGATGAAAGTAATAGAATTGATTCGTGAAAGGTACTTACTAAACAAGTAACAACCTTACGAGACGGCAGGGCGTCAGCTCACACACTTTTATACCTTGTAAGTAAAAGATCTGATTTATAACAACCTACACACCATACTTATGTAAATTGGGGGTAATATCTTACCAGTAGTAATGAGCATCCTTGATCGCATCTAGTTATGATTACGATTTAGTGTGGTAACACCATAAACTACATAGTGATACTGGTCACACATCATTCTAGGTACTAGAAAATGTGACTTCGTGTGTAGCCAATTCTGAGCCGATTTCACATAAGTTCTGCTATTTGACCTAAAATTTGCGGCAATAATGAGAAATAGGGGGAAACTGGGGTATACACGTGACAATCCAGAAACTAATCCAGGGTGCTACCTCCACTGCTCTAACTTTGCCCCTGATTTTAATGTCGCATGTAGTCTTCGGTTTAGGCCTTTTTAACCAACAACTAATTAAGTACTAGTACCTACATTATTATTGCTTGTTGGTAGCTATCTACTTTCACTACTGGAATGGATTACAAAGACAAAGTGATTTATTTATAACTACAATAGATAGGTCTAAATGCCCACCTAATATCTAATTTCATTATCTATAAAAATGGGAGATAAATAGTTACATTTATATAGGTAAATATTTAAAATTATAGATTTTCAAAGCTTTGGTTTATATAATGCTTGTTGAAATTCTCCAAATAAAGCGTGTTATTGCCTAATACTACATGTCATAATTAGTGACTTGAAAAGCACACTATAAATATTGCTCATTGCACTACTGATTTTTAAAACAATGTATGTATTTGAACTACATTCATACGCCTTGTACCTAGGTAACATACGTTATTTGAATATTATTATTTTAAAGATATTTTCATTGCAGAATCTATATTGTTACCGTTTTTAAATAAGAAATACATTATTTAATAGCCTAATATTTTTTTATTTCCGATGTACTAAAATTACTGTAATAAAAAGTGAGGAGTAAGCGGGCGTCGAAAAATTTGATGAATTAAGTATTCCGCATTTGTAGTGTTTATGTGCCTTGATGGTTCGAGTGGTTGATACATCATGGTAATGATAGGCCCAACCAGCGTTAGCGAAGGCGGACCCCCAATTCCATCATCAATCTGTAAAAACATATATTTGAGAATTAGACAAAAAAAATCTTTCCTTTTATATAATATTAGTTTCAATACAATAGGATTATAAAATGGGCATGAACTTCGCTTAATTAAGGCATAATGGGGTACTCACTGGGATGCAACCACGTTACTTTCCAGAGAGGACCTAGACCGTGCTAATAGGCCAGATAGAATACATTGCCTCCCAGGTATTTATAGATACTATACCTAATCCAGGGTGAGCATACTTTTTCATCAACGGGCCCATTTAAATTTTAAATATTTTTGGCGGGCCGCACATAAAGAAACATCTATTAATTTACAAAACTTTTTATTTATACTAAACATTAGAATAAAAAATATCAATTTTAAAAGATAAAGATTTCGTATAAAAAGATTAATACAAAATGAAGCTTGCGCAGACAGTTTGTACTGAATGTGTAAAGAAGATGCTGACAAGTGAATAACTCATCAGAAAAATATTTCAGTTCAATTTGTTCTTCCATTTTATTATAATTTATTTTGTGACAATATATTAATGGGAAAAATCGATAAAACTAAATTAAATTTTAAAAACGGTTGGTGAACCGCATAAACATGTGAAACGGCCCGCGAGTTATCAAAGAATCGTACAGTACAAGTTGGTGGGTACAGTAGCCAAAATATGTAAGAAGAATTAGATTCCAGTGGGGCTATTAGATGGCAATTTACCATATCATGTTGATCTCCCGTTGATTCCTGTCGTCGTTAGCCCTGGCGGACTCACTATTTCATCAATATATATTTTTTTAATAATGCTTTATTCATGACCATGGATACAAGTCCTTCAGACGAAACTATTTCGTCATATATATCTGTGTTGCAAACCGATGTGATCTTCACCTTTTAGACATTACACCATGGCAAATATTTTTCTCTTCAAAGTCACTGACACTCATTGAACCAATAATGTAGAGATTCGGCAATAGATTTTTTGGAGTTGGCAATACTGATACTGTCAATTCAATCCAGGTTTTTTTTCTTTTCTTAGGGCCAATCCAGGTTTATTCATTTCAGTATAAATCAGTCAATTTTATTGACAGCTGAAGTCAATGTCACTTTACTGTCAGTCAATACCCCCAATAATTTCCGTAAAACTTTTGTTTCGTCCTATTTTGACTTATTCGGTTTTTTAAGTACATTCTAACTACTACCGTACGTAACGTACTGGTTGTGTAAACAAAACAAAATCAAGAATGAAGGAAATAATAATAAACTATTTCTAAATTTTATTATTCATGATAATCGGACAATTTAGACTGAACATGTACTGATTATTTACAAACTGTATTAGGTATTGTATATTGTTTGCTTCTTATCAAATTGACAATTATTAATTGCATACCTCCAAGTAATTTTGTTACAACCGCTAGCAATGCCCAGTCAGTATGAAGAAGAACGTACTTGGGAAGCACCAAACCACAATCAGTATGAGGTATGTCTTAATAACTTAAGTGTGTTTTCACAATAAGTATATGCATGCAATGTAATATAGTTATAAGTAAGCATGCATCAAATACATATATATTTCATGATATAAATTCTCCATTTAACTAGGAAGAAGGTAATGAAGATATCATTGAAAATCCTGAAGAAGTCCTACAGGAATGTTTGGAAAAATTTAAGACTCCAGATTACATAATGGAACCTGGAATATTTGGACAACTTAAACGATATTTTCAAGCAGGAGGTAATCCTGAGCAAGTTATTGAACAATTGTCTATTAATTATAGTGCTGTGGCACAAATGGCAAATTTATTAGCAGAATGGCTTATACTGGGAGGTATGTATATGCTGGTACCACTACTGTTATGTTATTCTTATTTTAGGGTCCTTCTAATTCTGGTTATTATATAAATTTATTTAAAATTTTACAGCTTGAAATGTTTTTAAATTAGATTTTTCAACTTTAATAGCGTCTTCTAGAATCTAGATTCTAGATACTACATTTAGTATCTACTTTAAACAAAATCATTTTTAATTTTAAAATATAATTCTAATATATCTATTATTATCACAGATTAAATCATATTAATACTATTGAAATTAACAAGTTTAAAATATATTAGGCTGACATACAGTTCATAGTAAAATGTAAAATGCTATAAAATACTTAGTACCAATACTAAGCTTGATTAGTAAGGATATTTTTATTTGCATATTTTAAGGTGTAAAAGTGACAGAAGTTCAAGCAATGGTAGAAAATCACTTGAAAGACATGATTCTTAAAACTTTTGATCCCAAAAAAGCAGACACCATATTTACTGAAGAAGGTGAAGTGAGTATTGATTGTAAATATGGGTCATTCTTATTTTTAACCTACAAAAAGGTGTCTTCATCAGTTAAAAAAAAATATAATCAAAAATTATCCATATTATTTTATTATTCATGTTTCAATATGTACTGTACTAAAAATGTAACGGCTATACACGTTCACAATAAATAATCATTTATATTTTTATAATAAAAAATATGTTACAGAGCCGTCAATCCGCGTGACAGAGGTGTATTTCATACAAATCATAGTTGTCACCTGCTATCTGGGCCTGTAATTCATAATGGTACAAAAAAATATAAAGGCCGTAGCAAATATAAAAGTATTTTTTAATTCTCCAAATTATTGTTCATTTTGTTGTACTGGCTAAAACTTTTTGACATTTTTAATAAAAAAATCTTAAAGTCTTGTCTTTCACTACAGACTGTTTTAATAGGTATATTCGGTCACATGTTTTTTAATTCGAATGACGCGCGCTTATATACGCGGGTCGCTTTTGTTGCCGTCGATTGGAAAATATCCAATCCAGTCCTTCTCTGCCTTGCTGAGATAAGCTCTCTAGGACTTAGAGATTGCGCGTAAGTCGCCCGGAATCTGTGTATGGAGGTGCGTGTGTTTATTCGGCGGCAACTTCGTCACGTAAGTATTGGACAATAATATATCAATTACAGTCACTTCTTATTATTTAACTTTTGCGTAATATGAAACACTTTCATGTCAACGTGTTACATTTGTATTTTGTGGTAACGTTTAAATATTAACAATTTTGTAAGATTTACCCCTCCGTCACGCTTCGTGACAATTTAAATAGTGACGGATGGGTAAAAAATACTTGCAAAGAATGTAACATTTATTTTATCTCATAAAATATAAGAGTCTCTTGAAACAGGGCCAGTACTTATTATGGCAACTATTTCGATATAAAGTTTATCTAGTGTTTTTCTAATGTTTACGGATTTGTTTACATATTTTCTTTCTCAAGATATTATTATGACGAAAAAGAAGGCATTAACAGCAGAAAAACAGCGGCGTTGCCGTAAGATACGAAAAAGTTGTACAGAAAAGGTAGCTGAAGTAATCGAAAGATATCATATCTCGACAGATATCATACTCGTAATAAGCTTGTGGCTGACATGACTGTAAGAGAATATCGTATGATGAAGAGAAAATAGCAAGAAAAGAAAAAAAAACAGACGCTTGAAAACATACTGTTGAACACGCCGGCTCCATCGCCATCCAGAAATACGTCCTCATTCTGCAACACCTACTAATTCAGGAGTGTCTAGCTCAAGAGGGAAGAACAGAGTGAAAAGAGATAGAACACAGAGAAGTTATACCGAGAGAATATTAGTTTACAAGATAAAATAGAAGAATTAGAGAGGAAAGTTCGAAAATACAAGAAAAGCTTGCACAGAAAATCCAAAAAAGATAGCAATAGCAAAGATGAAAAGAACAGTAAGAATGAAAACTTTCCAATGCCATTAAAGAACGATACCAAACTTGCATTTTTTTAATCAAGACATGGAAAGGGAATTGCTAATGGTGTTGGTGGAACTTTGAAACGCCAAACTGATGCTATTGTAGCAATAGGAAAATATATCGGAGACGTGTTAGAATTCTTTTTCTCCATTCAAGATACCAGCAAAATTAAATGGTTTTTGGTGGCAGACGAAAACATAGACAATGGAGTATCGACTATTCCAAGCAGTATTTTACCCCTGAAAGGAACCATGCAAATCCACAACTGTTCTCAGAAACTCGTGGAATCTTAAACTTTAGGGTTCTGAGTTGTTTTTGTGAACAATTCTGTTCGTCGTTTCTAAAACTTATTGGCCTCTGCTTGAAACAGAATCCAATGTTGACAATATTTTGGACTAGTTGTTTTTTAACGAAAAAGAAGATGTTGCAATTCATGAAGTGGAGGATTTGTCGCTCACGATATTACGAACAAAATTGGGATGCCTCGAAAAAGATTTTATGATATTATGTATGAATCATCTGAGGAAGATCAGCCATTGCACACATATAAAAGCAAAGATTTCTCTAATCCAACGGCCTTTTCTAATACTTCTTAAGAAACACTTCACCTATGCATTTGCTCGGAATATACATGTACTCGTTAAAGTAAAAAGTGAATTGAATGATCAATATACATACGTAACATAGACGATGTTCTGGTGATGTTCTTGAAAATAGTCGATGATTGTAGAAGATTATTTATTAGTGGAGAATGACTTATAAGATGTTCCGTATGAGGATTTGATTAAAATTCTACCAAATCCAAAGATAGTTAAAAAAGGAAAGAGAAGGTTTTTTGAATTTGATGAGCTTTTGCCAGTGTTCGAAAAGTAAGACTGATTAGGACAAGTATGACTGAAGAAAGTAATTTGTTGATGATAGTTATTATTTTATTTTAATTTTTCAGTCAAGTTAGACATTTTCTTTATTTGTGACAAGTTAGAAGTCTTATAATTTAATTATATTAATACGGATCTCATTCCAAAGGTTCTGTAATGTGATTTTTATTAGTATGAGAGTATTTGAGTTGTAAGAATATAAGACTGTCAAATATTTAATTATTCTAAAGAAATAATAAATGATTCTAAATAAAATATTCATTTAAAACTAGTTTTATTCCAAAATATAACCGATTATTATATAGAATAACAACTCTGTCACATACTCTACCACTCTGTCACGATAATGTCTCCTGGTTTTAAAATTTATATAGTCATTTTAATATTTTCTTATGAATAGTACAATTTCAGAAAAATTATATAAAAAATAGTTAACTATAATATAGTCTACGAAATTAATATTTCTGTGCTACAAGTGGTTAAAATTGATTTATAGCAAAAATATACTTTTAAAAAACTGCAATTGTGACAGAGTATAATAAGATTAAAAATATATATTTATTGTTAAATACAGAAATCTTGCCTTGTAAGTTTTCTAAAAGGACCATTTGATTATTATTGTAAAAAGTAATTTGCAAGCTATCTGAGTTAAACTATTTGATACAAAAAAAATAAAAGATATTGTGACGGAGGTGTACAATTATTAGCCCAATCCCTTAAAGCATTAAGGCCTCGAAAATCTTACAAAAATTTGTAAACTTCGCGGCCAACAACTTTTTCAGATAGAATAGACATTCAGCTATCACAAAACATACAAGATTTGACTAGAAAGCGTTATATTCTTTTTTGGAAATTTGAGTAAAAATTTTAAGATCATGTAGGTTAAAAAAAAGAATGACCCATATACATTTTAAGTGTAACTATTTAAATAAATGACTATTATTCAAGTAAGTATTAGATAATTATAGTCAAGTATTATAACTTTGAACAAGTTTTGTACCTTTTTTAACAAATGACTATTATAAAATTATTAGTATTCTGAAACCTTATTTATATTTTTTATTTTAGTATATTGACTAGTTTATATCCATGTTAATTATCATTTCCTGACGTCATGTATAATTTTGCAGACACCAGCTTGGTTAACAGAAATGATTGAACATCCTACTTGGAGATCATTAATATATAGATTAGCAGAAGAGTATCCTGACTGTTTAATGCTTAATTTTACCATCAAGGTAATTTTACATATTTATACTTTTTTAGACAACCAACTGTCTATCTAATGTGCACCTAAAAACAATCTACTTTATTATATTGACTTAATCCCATAACCATATCTTTTATATTGGCTTATTCACCTTGATATCTAATTTGTCTGAAATCATACTGAAGACACATATATTGATAATAAGCAATATTCCAGAAACTTTATATGAAAATATTTGTAACTAAGATTTGTGGTACAAATATTGTACCAGTCCTGGCACTTTAAAAGTTGTGTGATATGCAGCTATTTATAGGCAATGTACACACCCTGGTCAAACTATCATCAAATTCTTCATTAATTAAGAGTAATTGAAACTGGTGATGACCATGTAATAAATGGATATATAGAATAAGTACTGGTGCCTATTTAAAAACTGTATAGGATTACTTATATAGAATTAATTTAACTGTCTATAGTCTAATAATTATTCATACTAATGTTACAGTAGGGATAGTGATAAAAATCTACATAACATGAACTTGAAATTATGCTGAAAAGTAATATAGACCTATATGATAAATATCTTTTAATTTTAATTTTGTAAAAATGGATATGTGACTGTGTTGTTTGTTAACTATTCACAATATGTTCTCTTAATGTCATGAATTTTACATGAAGATATATTGTAACAGGAAAATGTAATAAATTAATTATATTTTACCTCAAAAAATTATTCAGATGTGTGTTGGAACATGTAACCTGTAGTGTTTATGCAGATGAAATCATAAATAACAACTACTGTTTTATAAATACATGTGTATTTCAGCTAATATCTGATGCTGGTTTTCAAGGGGAAATAACCAGTATATCCACTGCTGCTCAACAAATTGAAGTATTTTCCAGGGTTCTCAAGTCAGCCATTGTAGGATTTTTGCAAAGTTCAGATGATTGGCAAAATAGTGTAAATGAATGTGCAGTAAGTTAAATCTGAATATTATTTAAAAAATAGTTTTAATAGTATGTTTACTATTTGCACCTTCATGTGGTACTTCTTGGTAAACAGTATCTAGTTTGTGGTAAATTAGCCATACTGGACTAAAAGACATCATCCATTCATCGTTTACTCGAGCCCTCCGGTGTATACAATAACCACATATAGAATTCCTTCCTTCATCAGTAATAATATTTCAACTACTTATTATTACAGAAAATGGTATGTCATGGTGCTCATACTTATGTATACAGCCAAGTAATCGTTCACATATTATCTCAAGAGCCAAGAGGAGGTGCTATTATGAAAAGACTCAGTCAAGAAATAACACGTTGTGCTCAACAAGGGTAAGAATTTATGAAAATTCACCAAGACAAAGGAACATGAACAATTTTTTTTTGTGTAACTAGAATTGATAATTTCATATAAGGCGCTTAGTAATGAATACAATACTTAACAGATAAACAAAACAATATAGAATCATAGAAATTTTAATCACATATATGTAGACACTATTTATGTATGTAAGAAATTACTTGTGGATATCAATTATAAGCTACACAATACTACAACCACTATGTCAATTTTGGTGATAAAATTATCCATAGACCATAGATGTGCTCTATGTACTTTATGTATTGCTGAAAATTAACTAATGGTAAATATATTGTATTGACAATACTACTTTTAAAGTTGTTAAAGTTAGGTGTCAACAACCTCAACATTAAATTTATATTGGACAGTCTAGCCATGCTGAAACACTAAAACTGAAAAACAACCAACAAATTAATATGTATTATATTATTATATACTATGCCATGGAGAAATGTACTTGTGTAATTCATATTGTAATAAAAGTAATCTTAATGTATTTTAATTAATAGGTAGGTGCATTAAAATTTTAACTATTACATAACGTAACTAATACGTATTTACGTAGTGCTACTAGCTGGCTAGGTCTTTTCTCCATAAATTTTAATTCCTTATTTTTTCCAAACCAAATTACCAAAGATCCGAATGTCTTTGGAAATTTACAAATTTAAAGCTATTATTAGTATAACAGGTTATTTTATTATATCTATATATATATATATATATATATATATATATATAAATATCCCCTTGGGCACTTTGTGGCTCAGACGTGCCGTATAGGTAGTTTTTTGTTGATCCTTTTTCACTTGTTGATCCGGAGGCCTTTTTGTTGATCTAATGCCAGATGACCATATATAAATGTTGATCCGTTTTGAGCCACAACTGTCACGACGAGTAATAATAATAATTAAGCGATTTATACACGATTTTATACAAATCCACCTTTTTGGCATACGAGCAGTTCTTGATCCAATTCAAACGGGCCAATCAGGGTGCAGCATTTGCCAAGGGCTTCCTCATTGGCACGTTTGGGCTACTACATTATGGCTACAGTAACTTAATAATGTCTAGCTAGTATTTCAAAAATAATAGTCTACCTAATCTAAATATTTATAGAAATCAGTCTGGAGTAACGTGACTCCAGATCAAACCTCAATACTTGTTATTTTTTGGACGGGAATCTTTTCTTTTGTAACAACGTTACTGAGCGAATAAAGAGAAGACGCAATGGCGGATCCAGGGGGGAGCGTCATGGAGGTCATGGGAGTCATGGGGGCGTCATGACTCTCCCCCCCCCCCCCCCCCTTAGCCCAGAACTTAGGTAGACCACTAATTGAACTAAAAAATAATGAAACAGCAAATTTTTTTGCACGATCGGAGTGTTGGTGCAGTAGTATTAATTATAATTAAACATTGTTACTTAAAACATAACAGTTAAAGTACTATAACACTAAAAGCAAAATAGGTATTTTCAAAATACTTTTTCAAAATAAATTACCCTTTGAGTTTTTGTTCAAACCTCAGATATTATATTTAATTTAGGTATATCAATCAATACATAGTATAGCATAGTACAGTCTGTCTGTCTGTCTGTCTGTTTGTTCCGGCTAATCTCTGAAATAGCTGGACCGATTTTGACGGGACTTTTTTTGGCAAGTAGCTGATGTAATAAGGAGTAACTTACGCTACTGTTATTTTAGAAAAATAAAATAAAATTTCACGCGGACGAAGTCGCTGGGGCCAGCTAGTCTATAGATATACCGAGATTTAATGTTTAAGTTGCTATTATGTTATTGACAAAATTTTACTGTAATGTTACTATTACGTTATCCTACACAATTTGTATTATTTTGGATGAATAAATAAATAAATAAATAAATAATAATCTATACATCTATACATTTAATAAAAATTGGAGTGTCTGTTTGTAATATTGAAAAAACCGTTTTTTACTACATGCATATGAATATATATAAGGTACATATACCAAAATAACTATTTTTATAATTTTAGTCTGTCTGTCTGTCTGTCTGTTTGTTCCGGCTAATCTCTGAAATGGCTGGACCGATTTTGACGGTACTTTTTTTTGGCAGGTAGCTGATTTATAAGGAGTAACTTAGGTTACTTTTATTTTAGAAAAATAAAGTTAAATTCCACGCGGACGAAGTCGCGGGAACACCTTGTTTTTAATAAAAACATCTTTTTTGTGGTACTTGAGAATGTTGAAGCCTGTTGTTTGTAATATTGAAATAACCGTTTTTTACTACTTGCATATGAATATAAATACGGTACATACACCAAAATAACATATTTTACAATTTTTGTCTGTCTGTCTGTTTGTTCCGGCTAATCTCTGAAATGGCTGGACCGATTTTGACGGGACTTTTTTTGGCAGGTAGCTGATGTAATAAGGAGTAACTTAGGCTACTTTTATTTTAGAAAAATAAAGTTAAAAACCACGTGGACGAAGTCGCGGGAACAGCTAGTGTATAATATATTAGAGATACCTACGTGTTTTTTTATTGATGACTAGCTGTACACGGGATTTCGTCCGTGTTGAATTTAACTTTATTTTTCTAAAATATAAGAAGTTAAATTCCACGCGGACGAAGTCGCGTGTACAGCTAGTTGTCGGTAGTCTAGCGATTTAGCTAGCACACTGCTTTGATTCCTGCTTGGTGGTCGAGGGTTCGATTCCTCGCACGCTGCAAACATTTGTATTCATGAGTATGATTGTTTGTAACGGTCTGGGTGTTTTCTATGTATAGATAATATATATGTATTTACGAAAAAAAATCTTTGTATTTATATCAGTACCCATAACATAATCTTCAGCTAGCTTAACTTTGGTCTAGATGAAGCTGTGTGAATTGTCCTGAGATTACTATTATTACTATAATAAATCTTTTCAAATCAGCCGATGTTTATTTTTGCCATAATACGTGCGGTTACCATGTGATAATATTACGTACGTACTTATTAAACTATTAACTTATTATTAAATTATTAACTATTTATACTGTTTTAAATGTGATGCGTTCATTATTTATATTTCCTTTGAATTAAAGACAAATGTATATATATATATATATATATATATATTTATATACACTTGCACACTTAGTTGATCCAGCCACGATCCGTAGATATTGCTGATCCACTGTCTCTCTCTTTCTATCACTATCTTTGTATTCTAATATGCGATGTTGCCGTTCCGGCCGAGACCATGCGTTGTTGCCAAATGTATTCGTCGATAGTAGTAGATACTTATACTCGATATATATTTCCTGCAATAGTGAATCCGTATCGGCATTTTTTTTAAATGCACAAAGATTTTTTGGCTCTGAATATATTTAAAAATCATTTACTTGTGTGTTGATGAATTTATATACTAGTACATGAAGTACCTAATACTTGTTTTGATTTGAATAGGTAGCGATATTATGAATTTATTATACGTAATCTAAAAGATTTTGACGAAATAAAAGTAATTAGTTATCTGTTAACCTTGACTTCATGCTGGCACCAGTATTATCAGATGATGAACACACTCTTCGAAAACTTACAGCAGAAATATCGTGTTTGGACTCATTAGATAGGTCTCGATGAATAGAGTTTAAAAAACTTAAAATAAATGGTACATTAGAAATAATGTATAAAAACCCCTTACGTAAAATTCAACCACTTTAAACTTAATAATAATAATAATTAGGAAAAGAGAAAAGCTATACATGCACTGAAAGTAATCAACAACTCTGTTTGTTCAGTAAAAGTGTAAATACACTGGTAACCTTTAATCATATTTTATATGCAAACATTACATATACAAACACTAAAGTTTTATTTCAGAATAGCCAGTAGTTTTCAAGAAATAAGTCTTTGAAATTGTACGTGTAACTTATATATATACCTACTAGTTTTTTCACCATAACAAACAACACCAATATGGCCTAGTTAGTAGTTTACCTGTGTACCAATTAATAATAATAGTAATCTCAGGACAATTCATACAGCTTCATCTAGACCCAAGTTAAGCTAGCTGAAGATTATGTTATGGGTACTGATATAAATACAAAGATTTTTTTCGTAAATACATATATATTATCTATACATAGAAAACACCCAGACCGTTACAAACAATTTAATAATAAGTTAATAGTTTAATAAGTACGTACGTAATATTATCACATGGTAACAGCACGTATTATGGCAAAAATAAACATCGGCTGATTTGAAAAGATTTATTATAGTAATAATAGTAATCTCAGGACAATTCACACAGCTTCATCTAGACCCAAGTTAAGCTAGCTGAAGATTATGTTATGGGTACTGATATAAATACAAAGATTTTTTTTCGTAAATACATATATATTATCTATACATAGAAAACACCCAGACCGTTACAAACAATCATACTCATGAATACAAATGTTTGCAGCGTGCGAGGAATCGAACCCTCGACCACCAAGCAGGAATCAAAGCAGTGTGCTAGCTAAATCGCTAGACTACCGACAACTAGCTGTACACCCGACTTCGTCCGCGTGGAATTTAACTTCTTATATTTTAGAAAAATAAAGTTAAATTCAACACGGACGAAATCCCGTGTACAGCTAGTCATCAATAAAAAAACACGTAGGTATCTCTAATATATTATACACTAGCTGTTCCCGCGACTTCGTCCACGTGGTTTTTAACTTTATTTTTCTAAAATAAAAGTAGCCTAAGTTACTCCTTATTACATCAGCTACCTGCCAAAAAAAGTCCCGTCAAAATCGGTCCAGCCATTTCAGAGATTAGCCGGAACAAACAGACAGACAGACAAAAATTGTAAAATATGTTATTTTGGTGTATGTACCGTATTTATATTCATATGCAAGTAGTAAAAAACGGTTATTTCAATATTACAAACAACAGGCTTCAACATTCTCAAGTACCACAAAAAAGATGTTTTTTTATCAAATAAACAGTTTTT